CTCTCCAGCCTGTCCAGGTCCCTCTGAATGGCAGCACAGTCTTCTGGTGTCTCAGCCACTCCTCCCAGTTTAGTATCATCAGCACACTTGCTGAGGGTGCACTCTGTCCCTTCCTCCAGGTCACTGAAGAATACATTGAACAAGACTGGACCCAGGACTGACCCCTGGGGGACACCACTAGCCACAGGCCTCCAACTAGACTCTGCGCCACTGACCACAACCCTCTGAGCCCTGCCATTCAGCCAGGTCTCAATCCACCTCACTGTCCACTCATCCAGCCCACACTTTCTGAGCTTGCCTAGGAGGATGTGATGGGAGACAGTGTCAAAAGCCTTGCTGAAGTCCAGGGAGACAACATCCACTGCTCTGCCCTCATCTCCCCAGCCAGTCCTTCCATCATAGAAGGCTATCAGGTTGGTCAAGCATGATTTCCCCTTGGTGAATCCATGCTGACTACTCCTGATCACCTTCCTGTCCTCCATATGCTTAGTGATGACCTCCAGGATGAGCTGCTCCATCACCTTTCCAGGGATGGAGGTGAGGCTGACTGGCCTGTAGTTCCCTGGCTCCTCCTTTCTTGCCCCCTTGACTGGGGTGATATTTGCTTTCTTCCAGTTCCATTATATGCCTTGATGTAAGTGAAAGGTAGGACAAAGCCCTAGCCTGTAACTACCTATTGAGGTATGGCAGAATAGCTCACACCTTCAGTTCTCCCAACAGATTGCAATTTGCCAGTGCCATTGTTTTAACACATCATGGTATAGACTTACTGGAATAATCTTATGCATAGTAATGAAAGTCAGACCACAAATAGCTACTGCATTTCTCAAAATTAATTACATCAGTGGAAATTCTGCTCACATATAGTCTTGAGAAAACAAGTGGTTCAAAATCTTTGTTAAAGAACTGTCTCCTTTTGAAATGGGGCTGTTTACCAACTATGTTGTTTAGGTTTCCTCTTACCTCCAGTGTCATGTATACAGTGCTAATTGCTACTTTGATTTCTCCATCTGAAAGCTCCTTGAGATCCTTCAGCATAACCTCCTCCATACTTATGCCTGTTTGAGAAAATAAAAAATTTCAGTACACCCAAGTGTCTACAGCTGACTAGACACAACAACATGAATTAAAAGCACAGCTTGAACCTTAATGTAGAGCCTTCTGATTTTTAGGACATCCTATGAGAAAACTAAAACCAGCATTAATATAGCCATGCAGGATGTTTCCAGTAGTATTTTTTTAAGCAAGGAAGTGATTTAAAAACAAAAAGCAAAGGATGAAGAATTAAGTCTCTTGCAATGAAGTTGTGTGAACACTCACATTTTTGAGGTGCACAAAATTCTAGTTGTTGATAAATGTATACATAGTCCATCCTAATGTCACTTACGTGAAATACTTCCAGAAGGAACAAGACACTGAAAAGCACAAGTGTTATATTATGATATTTATAAAATAGTCAGAGGCAAAGCACTTCAGATGTTCTGAAAACAAGAAGTCATTCAGCCTTTCTGATATCCCAAATTGATACCAACACCAATGGGTTCTTTCTATGTAAATCAAATAGTGAATTAACCGACTAGATACATATGTACCATAGAAACAGAAGTACATATTGTCATCAGAAACAGCAGACTAAAATTGGAATTGCTTCATCTTGTAACCAGATGTGTTATGCTTAAGTGCAATATATTGAAAATGCACATGACTAAGTTCCTTTAATGGGCAATGTCTGTCTGAAATACTGTAAAGACTTTTAAAATAAATATATTTTGGAACATGGTCATATGATGCCATCAAAAATACAGACAAAACAGCCAAATATTCCTATAAACAAAGCTCTGTGCCACCTTCTTCAGTGTAGACAGGCACCTAAAATGTCTACAGAATTATAAAGCTTACCTGCACAACATCCAAGAATGCGTTCACATGAGTGATTTTTAAGAGGAAGCCAAATACACACTTATGCCAAACAAATGAATTCACTGTTCCTGTATAGAGTCCAGCTACTGCATTCAATCTAATGACAAGAAGAACTGGCTGCTATTCATATACTCATTGTATTTATGAGTCTGGCCTTTTAAAAATATTTATATGTAGCCAGTAGACTTTCTTGTGGGGTACAGCCTACTGAGCCTCAAATAACCAATGAATTCATGAATTTAGGCCAGTAAATCACCATTTCTGCGTATAACTGAGAACATTTTATGCTGAATTGTCCTAGTATTGCCTGGAATACCAAGTACATATGGCAAAATATTCATCAGCTTCAAAGAACTTCAGAAACTCATCACCACCTTACTAATACAAATACCACATAGATGTATGCAGTGCTAAATATGTATCTCGTAATACATAACAAACAGCAGCAATAAAACAAAAGAGGGGTCTACCAAATTGCCCTACTCATGTGGGTATGTAAAAATGGTTTGGCAATCAATGTCACGCAGATTGAATTTGCCTGTTATGTACACTTTTCCAAGTTTTTTATTGGATATTACGGTAAATCACAAGGGCCAAGCACATGATGAGCATTGCTAAACAATCTTCCATAGCAACTGGCATTAAGCTAAACACCGAGTTCAGTAAAAGCCATTTTGATTGGGTCTCTCCAGTCCAGGCTGCATTCAGTTCAATTCTGAACTTTAATTTCTTGACCAACTTCCAGTGCAACTTCAGGAAACTATCAGAAGACTTACAGCCCTGAACTAATTTAGCTTGCAAACTCACTGAAGAAAAGAGCCAAGGAAGCAGCATCTCAAGCCCCATTCCTAACCATCAACTGGGGCAGCCATCTCAGGCTGAAGGTCTGAATTCAGATGAGCGAATTCTGAGGATGGGTGGATAGAGAAGGATAAAAATAGAATATAAGCCTGCATGGACTCTGTGCATACCTGATGCATTTAATAGAGAAATATCTCAATAATTCAATACTCACTCTTTGGTAATGACCTGGTAGCAGACATCATTTAACAAAAACAGTATAAAGTGTGAAAAAGTGTAATAACTTTCTTCAGGCTTTCAGAGCATTCCTTCTGAAACTTGTTATCAAATTTTGGGCTAAAACACTCCCAGTTCTGATCACTGAATAAAGAACAAATATCTTCAGTCATTTCTAGCAGAAGAAAATGAAAGAGAAGTACAGTTTTCCCACTGCTTCTTTAACCTTAGTCTGAAGTCAAATTCACTTTATCTATACAGAGCCTTAACAGTTGAAACCTCAAGAAATTTGGGAAGGTTAAGATAAAATCCACTCCCACACCATGTAGGCAATTGCAACACAATTCCTGCACATGGGCTGACACTGTGGTTATGCCCTGTATTGGGTCCCACTTCATCATCACAAATATTTAAAATATACTTGTAAAAACTACGTGAAATAAATTAACGTTTAATTTATCTGTAAAAGAAATATAAGACTATTTTAGAAGTTCAGAAACATGATTCCATGGTTCAGAATGTCAGTCCCTTAATTCAAAATTAAATACCACTGTATGTAACTGTCAATGAAGAAAGCTCTCACGTTGCAACTACTCTCACCACACACAACAAGTCAAGCTATTCACAGAATCACAGAATGGTTGAGGTTGGAAGGGACCTCTGGAGATCATCTAGTCCAACCCCCCTGCTCAAGCAGGGTCCTCTAGAGCACATTGCCCAGAATCACATCCAGACAGGTTTTGAATATCTCCAGGGAAGGAGACTCCACTACCTCTCTGGGCAACCTGTGCCAGTGCTCAGTCACCCTCACAGGAAAGAAGTTTCTCCTCATGTTCAGAGGGACCTTCCTGTGTTTCAGTTCATGCCCGTTGCCTCTCGTCCTGTCCCTGGGCACCACGGAGAAGAGTCTGGCCCCAGCCTCTTGACACCCTCCCTTCAGATACTTGTAGACATTGATCAGATCCCCCCTCAGTCTTCTCTTCTCCAGGAAGAACAGGCCCAGCTCCCTCAGCCTTTCTTCACAGGAGACATGCTCCAGTCCCCTAATCATCTTTGTAGCCCTCCGCTGGACTCTCTCCAGGAGCTCCATGTCTCTCTTGTACTGGGGAGCCCAGCACTGGACACAGGACTCCAGGTGGGGCCTCCCCAGGGCTGAGTAGAGGGGCAGGATCACCTCCCTCGACCTGCTGGCAACACTCTGCCTCATGCAGCCCAGGATACCCTTGGCCTTCTTGGCCCCAAGGGCACACTGCTGGCTCATGTTTAACTTGTTGTCTACCAGGACTCCCAGGTCCTTCTTTGCAGAGCTGCTCTCCAGCAGGTCAGCTCCCAGCCTGTCCTGGTGCATGGGGTTATTCCTCCTTAGATGCAGTCGCATAACTAAATACCTGAAAATATCTGAAAAACGGAAGTAAGTTGCATCACCTTGAGGGTTAAACTGAGCCTCCTGGAGAACAGAGATAATTTTCTCCCGTGGGGGTAGATCTGGAAACTTTTTCTCTAGAATTGACAGCACTTTCTCCAGTTGCTCTGTAATTCTCTCAGGCTCCAAAGACATGCACTTGAAGAGAATGCCTCCTGAAAAATTGAAAGACAAAAATCAATACCTCCTGTAAACAGCAAAGAGGTACTAGAGAAACAAGAATGTTTACTTCATCACCATCCAAGTCCTTTCCTTCTTGGAGCTTGTTTCCACTGATGAGTTAGCTGAATTAGATATTAAATGCTGTTCACACAGAAAATCCTAGCATGAAGATAGTTTCTAAAATTTGAACTGGGCAGGCTGTCAGGGCCTATGTTACAGCTAACTGGCTACTCCCAGTACAATCACAGCATGCAGCACGTTTGCATAGGTCCAATACAGTTCTGCAGCATGGCCACTAACTAACAGTAGGTCTCAAGGGCTTGAGGAAAGCTGTTGCTCTAAGTATTAGACCAAGAGTTGGTAAGTTACATTAGCTCTAAAGGGAAGACAGCCTGAAAGCTTAGAAATGGTAAATCCATACTGCTTGACCTTCCTTCTACAGACATAGCAATGAACTGCTAATATGCACAAGCAATAAACCAAAATAATTAGATACACCATCACCCGAACCCAAAGAAATAAAATTGTTTTCATTTAAATTATACTTTTCAGAAAATGATGGGTTCTGTTACATTGCTTGACTTTATAAATGCACCCAGTGAGGATTTCTAATGGCAATTATCTCCAATATTTTTTAAAATCTCCTTGAATACAGCAAATAAAACTTACAAAGGACATTACGAATAACCTCAGAAATATGATGTCACATGAGCCATTGGCCAGTTCAGTGCAACGGACTATAGCTGATTCCATGCCAACGAATATAGAAAAAAAAGCACAACACACTCAACCAAACAAAATGATGCATTACATTTTGAAATTTAAGAGAAACATAGTCCATTAAATAATTGCACTGTAATTGGTATGCTCCTACAAGAGGGAAGTGAGCTTGACATATTTTCAGACAATCATGTGCTGCATATATTCCATCCTGGATGTTCAACGTTCCTGGGGGTTGAGGATTTAAGGTCATCCTTTAACTCCCAGGAGGCTGGAATCCCATTTATTAATATATGCAAAGATAACCTTCACTACCAATTACTCACACTAAATTAAGGATAATAAACTTACACTTCAGCATCGAAATTATTTATTATTGTGTAGTACACAGGGATTTCAAACAACAATATGACCCCATTGCACCATGCTACGTCCATAAGGAAACCAGTACAACAATAGTATAAGATAGTTATTACAAGTCAAAGAGAGTTATTACAGCCGAGAGGGAAAGAAAAACTTGCACACAGTCACCCTCACTAGACTGACTAGAATAAGAATTGCCCTCACATGTCCTAACATGACATGCTGATCCCTTTGCCACTGAGGCACAAGGACAGGTTCATACAGAATAATGCACCAGTGATCAGTGGTCTTGAACAGAAGACAGAAGTACAGGTTTCCTTATTAGACAGATACTGCATGTATTAAATAATCTCGCCTAGGAAACATAATTCAAATACACTACAATTATTCAACATACTAATCCAAGGGACAAATTTGGCATGATGTGTTAACAGGGAGACATGGCAATAAAATATACACACCATAAATATTACTGTAACATCAGATATTTACTGAAATCACAGTTTTACTGTGATTACTGATAATTAGGCAAGAACTAGAACATTAAAAGCAAAAACTAAATGGACTGACACCTACTAAATAAAAAAAAAAAATCCTTCTTTGAGAGTTGTTTTTTTAAATACAGAAAAGTCAAAAACTATACCTACAAAATACTTGCTTGTAAATTAATCTTATTAAGAGTAATGCTTAACAAGCCAAAAGCTGTTCCTCATCAGATGTTAAATTCAGGAAATTCAGGCATAAGAAATTCCATTCTGGGTTTCTGTTATAGATATGATAACTTCCAATATTCTGTTAACTCCCAGCTGCCTTTTCTTCGATTCATGTCAGTCTTATCATCATTTTAAGACAATGTTCCTGCCCTATGTGATAGTACTAAAAACATTAAATAAATACAGACTGAATGAAAATCATATATACTAGCCCAAACGTTCAGAATTTTTTTTATTTTGAATGTCATAAATTTAGGTACGCAAAATAAGGCTCCATAATGAGCAGATTTCAGATGTTTCCAAATAAGTAACTGCTATATCTATTCATGTTTGCAAGATAGGCCTATTTTTTAAGTCTCTTCCATATGAAGCAAGTTTCTCAACCAGCAGCCTTCACGATTAATTCATCTAACAGCATCCCTTAGTTGCTCCCATCTCTAATCGGATGACAGAACCTGTGCTACACGTTCTTGTCCTTACCCTGGGAAGGGCAGTGACCAGAATGACTCATCTGGCCCACAGCTCACTCCCACCTCAGAGCTGCACCTGGAAAAAATGGTAGCTTAGGAAACAGGTTACATGAATTACTTTAATAATAGCAATCTTTTGCTTTTTCAGCATCCTTCCCCATCACCCAGGAGCAAATAGGGGTTTACTCATGCAGACGCAAAGGAAATGATACTCTTGCAGAAAGTATTGGACCTACAATGCATGCTCAAAGTCATCACACAGTTATCTGCTGGACAGAGGCTGTAGCACATCACATATATCCTCCTGGCAGCACTAGAATGAGATAGGCAATCTATTCATCTGCATAGGTCTTCAAATATAGAAGATGTCAAATTTTTACCATAATTGGGGGGGGGGGCGCGCAAAGGGTGTTGAGGAAGACCAAGCAGAGAAACCCCAAACACAAACAAACTGGAAAATGCAGTAAAATAAGAGGCATGAGTTATACACCCAGTCAAGTTCATCACTTCCAAAGCCAACATGGCATCAGTCAGGCTTTGGGTGTGCCTAATTGTACAGAAATTACTACTATATAGTGGGTTCAGCTTCAGGCCAGCAGCTTCTGATTCATTTTAATTCCATAAACCACATATCAGTTCAACCTCATTACAGGACTGCTTACAAATTGAACAATAACTACACTACCCAATCAATTCTGGATTTCAACTAAGCTGTAAAACAAATGTGAAACTATATCCTTCCTAAAATATGATACAAGCTTAACCATACAAGAATAGTCAACTCAAGAGAGTTTGAGCCTCAGAATTTGAGTAAAATATTCTTTCCTTTGTTTCTCACTGAATCAATTCCCAAACTATTACAATAACATAAAATAGATCAGCCTTTTCTTCTATTTCAGTATTTCAGACAGGTGATGATCGCATGCAGAACAAACACAACTTCTACTGTGTAGTTCAGGGCTGGGCCACCAAATTAAATCAACCAGTCCCAGTCCCAGTGTAGCCCAGGCTTTCTAGGGCCAAGCAAAAGGGTATAGGGAGGCAAGACAGGAAAGAGGAGAGAAGGAAGAGTTTCATATTTCTCCAAGTGCAGGAAATAAGAACTGGCAGCAGAAAGCAGTGATTACACCAAGAAAGGGTCTAACAGCCAGGTCAGGATCTGGCTGTGATTTTGACAGTTGGCTCAACCACACCAGTTATGCAGCACTGAGAAATCCTCATAAGTATCCATTTTCTAAAATTGCACATGGATTTCTTTCACACCACAACAGTTCTACTATACTGTTCCAGCAGCACTGTTTCTGCTAATAAAACTAGTTTTAATCTCATAAAAGTATGGATTGAGGAGAGGGGGCTTGTACAATATTTATCTATTTCCCCAATCAAAAGGGATGGAAAGATTGCTTAGGACATACCATGGCAGCCCACCATGCATTTCTATTGGTAACAGTTTGGATCTGTCTCTTGTTTTCACGTGTGTGACAAATTCTGGCTTTCTTCGATGGGAAGGCCAGTCTTGGATTTGATCTTACCTTTGGTGGGACACGCACGTTACTGCATAGTTATAAAATCAGAGAGAAGTCACAGAATTGTAACAGTGTTTAGACATGCAGTGTGCTCCAGCATCTAACAGAAAGCCTTGGCCTTTCGTTGCTCCATTCCTCTCAGGGTTGACCTCTTTGCATATTTTGATCAAGTATGACATTTTCCAGTGGGATAGCAAACTTAGTGATTCAGGAATTTATCATTTAATACAAGAATGAAATGCAGTCTTTCCTGAAATAGGGCCTCAACATAGGCATGCATCTTAAAAAGTTTTTTTAAAAGCTATTCTTTTTCTACCTGTCACAGCAACACTGCAGTCCTGGCTTTTTTACTAAGGTGAAAGGAAGAGAAGAACCCTTCTCAAATTAACAGGGTGTCAGCAATCCCCAAACTCAACATTTATTCTTCCTTCATTCTTCAACACTATGCTTGTCAGCAAGAAAGGTCTTTTCTGCATATCATTGAGATGCTGGACTCAGCATCCCTGTGAGGATCAAGATTCCAGCTAGTTTAGAAAAACAGTTTACTCAAGGTACTTTTCCTTGATCAAAGTCCATTTAGTCATGTGCCCTCTTGCAAGTGCCCACTCTAAAAGAGTTATATGGGCTCAGAAATCTCCTGCAGACTTTACTGAGTGCTGGTGCAACTCCCTCAGGATTTCTAAAAGCATTGCAGAAGCTGTTCTGTCTGCTGACAAGCATAGAAAGACAAAAAAGAAACATATAAGAGGTAATGCAAGATTCAATATTATTTCTTGTGTACACCACACTGCATTATCAATATATTTTTCTAGGGAGAGGTCACTAGAAAATAGGCTAGGCCTCTAAAAAAAATGTGCATTTTATTCTTTTTGCAAAGCAGTTTGGGAGTGAAACGCTAGTTTTGCCAAAAGCAATTGCTGTGCATTAATATTAAACATGATCTAACGAAGGCAGAAGTCATTTTGGGAAAACATTAAGAATAGCACAAGCATCTCCTGAATGGTAAGTCTATGGTTGAAAGGAACAGTACAATGCAAATACAGATGTGTCTTGTCAAGGTTTTGTTCCATGACCTGGAAATAAAAAAATAAATACATAAAAATAATTAAAAGTATAGAGAGAAGGGGAAAACCATCAGTCCCTCATGGAAAGACATTCCCTTCCCAAAATAAAATGAAAACACCCACCCAAGCAAGCAGTC